ATTCCTTCCCCTCTGCCTTGAGAACATTGGGTCACTGTTAGGTGTTCTCAGGGCTTCTTGCACTTCTCATCTATAACTCTTGCCACAACTTTAATTACAGAATTAATAAATGCTGTGCTGGGTCTGCCCATTACTGGGTCTCCAGCACCCAGCACAACACCTGAATGTAACTAAATGATGATTGGCTGAATGTTTGTTTGAATGTGCATAAGCAACAGGAATTCCCTCAAAGGTGGGGAATGGTGTCTTTGACTTCCTTCCAGTTTCTCAGAACGTTTAGTGTGAGACTGCTACTTAATCAGTGACTGTGACTGAAATGAGAATTATATGATCAGAATTAGCTTTTCACTGGAACTACTTTAGAGAGGTAGTAGATAGAAAGGAAAAGTATTATGACTGACTGGAAAGAAGCCACCCTCTTGCTAATTTCCCCCATATCTGCAGGAAAAGTTTGTAATTTTAAAAAAGATTTATTTATTTATGCATACAGAACTGGGGTACAGGCCAGAGATGATAGGATTTACCAGAGACAGAGCGGGGAGCAGAACAGGCAGATGGACAGGCAGATGGCTGAGGGGAGCAGCAGGCGAGGCAGGAGGATCTGCTCTGCTATGCGGGTCACCTCCGGGGCAGGAATCGGACTCGCAGTGAAGCGGCCATGGCTGGCTTGCAGTGTTGCGGTTTAACCCATTGTGCCACCAGGGAGGGCCCAAAAGTTGTAATTTTCTCAAAAACTAATTAAATATGACGCCAGTGGGTCATTTATAATAACTATATATAGCCTTAGTATCCATTGAATAAATATTTCCTTGATAAACACATACTTTCTTTGCAATGTTTCTAACTTCTTTTTTACTTTACTTTGAAAACCTAACTAATGAAATTACCTAAAATATAAATTGTAATTCATTTACATGCAAAAGTGACTTGGCAGAGTAGTCCAACTAAAAGCTCTCTCAAAACCGTGTGGTGAAGTGTAGTTGCTGTTAGTGTTAGGTGGTTTCGGTGAGGAGCTCATGACAGGGCCCGTTGTTGACATCAGTGGAAGCCACTGACAGCTGCTGTTGGTGTCAGGGTCTTGCCATGCGTACTGCCTCACAAACCTTGCTATCACCGAAATGCAGATGTAGAGGGGGTAGCACACCCCTTTATTCCTGTTTAGTGTTTCCGTGTTGTTTCTCCTGTCCCCCCTCACATTCGGATTTTCAGTGCTTGTGACTAGTTCTACCCATTCTTTATTTTGGTGTGGAATGTGACCACCATTGCTGGAAAGCAGAGGTCTCCTAGTTAGGTGTTAAAGGCTCTTGGTGTCGGCATGTTCCAGTCACTCGTGGTCAGCTCGGCTGAAAGCCTTTTGTATAATCCGTTTTGCAGTTAAAGGCGCTAGTCACTGTTACTGTTAATTATTGGCAGTACTCACACGTTTGGCCACAAAACCTTAAATATTTTATTTGTCCCAGGTCTCTAATATTTTAATATTTAAATCCTTCTTATTTAATTTCAAACTACCAGTTAATGTTATCTCTAAAAGCATACCAGTAATTTGTAATTTTAGGCTTCCCTTTCCTTCCACGTGCAATAGTTGTGGTAAAAATTCATTTAACCAGGTTTATATAAGTTAGTCCCAAGTGTGGGAATCCAGAGCATTTCCTCTTTTGGAATGAACCAGTGACGTATGTGATGTGTCTTCATGTTATCTACCGGAAAGAGAAATTTCTTCTCAGTGTAGTGCGGATTTATTAGTGACAGCAGTGTCCTTCTTTGCAAAGGGCCTCTTAGGTTGTTTCACAAAATGCGCTTTCAGGATGAATTTAAACATTAGTTCATGCTGCTTTCAGGATAAATTTAAACACCTGTCTAAACATCTCCTTCTTCAAGGGGAATAGTTTTTTAAATCTGGAAATGTACCATCAGCACATTATAAATGTCTCCTTTCATTTTTGAGGGACTCAAGTTGGAATGTCAGCTATGTGATAGTGTATAGGAGGAGCCGTAACTGGCACCAGTGTATCAAGGAAGCAATAGAGGAATTTACTTTTCAGTGTCTCCCAAGGCCTATGAGGATGCACACTTATTTCCTCAGAGAGTATGGACCTCACTGTGTTTGTCCAGAGGGTATGATTCTGTGGAGGAGAGCACTGCATGGTAAGTATCAAGCTTTTACTGCATTGGGTTTCAGAGAAAGATGTTCAGGAGTCGATTTCTAGCAGTGATAGATTCTCTTGGTCTGTGCTGGTTTCTTAACAGTGAACAGGTCAGTACAAGAGAAAACGTCCAGATGTTGACGTCAGCACAAGAGAAAAACCCAAATCCTGACATGACTTGAGGATTTTTCAAAAATGACACTCAAAGTAGTTGAGGTAAATGTTACTGTGGGAGCCAAGACTAAGTGAATTGTGAGATGTGACTCTGGAAGGCTGTGCTTTCGCCTGAGTTTGCACACATACAAAACCAGGATGCAGAGGGGCCGGAACTCGGGGTCTCCTGGAACTTAAACAGCAGACTCACATGGACATGAATGGCATAGTGGTTGTCACAATTTACCTTAATATTTCTTCGCCAAGTTCGTTCTCTATTCAAATTAAGACCTTCTGAAGCCTGGAAGTGATGTATTCTGGGCACATCAAATCTTTGAAAAACATTTCCAAATCCAAGTTTGTTAGTGTGGATCAAATGTTTGTTTTGGAAACAGTAAAATGGGAATGTGGGAGGGTTGATGTTAGAGGCCCTTTGCTGTTTTTGCTTTACGCCTTATTTCCTGCTCTCTTTCAGTCAAGAACTTTTAAGACATTGTTACTGACTATTGGTTGAAAAACTGGTAAAATAGCATTTGCATGTGTAAGAGACATTTAAACCCAAAGGAAAACCCGCCAGCCTAGAATGTAGTAAGTTCTGTAGGTATTAACCGAACCATGAACGTTTGCCACAGTAAAGCCACTGCCTACTTCCCACATTAGGCTGAGGGTTGGTTTATGTCTTAGTAAGTGGTGAAAAGAAGTATAGAAGCTGTGAGGAGAGAATTCAGTGCTTGGCTTTGGCATCAGACTGGCAAGAGTTGCCATGTGTTAGCTCCCTACTCAGCCACGTGTTTGATGGTTGCCAGTCAATCTGTTCTGCTGTAAAATGGTATTGGCCTGCCATGATGGCCAGCCTGGTCCCACCCTGTTGAATCAGAAGTCTGGGCTCTGCTCATTTCAGTCACAATTCCAGAGAGGCTGGGGTTGGAGAGAGCAGGGACATCTCTGTACTAATGGGATGGGAAGAGGGTTGAGAATGCACTTCTGTGTGATCCATTTTTGCTTTGTCTTGTGTCTAATTCTACAGTCCCTGATCTTTGGGACTCATTTCAAAGTCACTTGAAGCCACCTTTTAGGAGATGTGGAAAATGTGTGTGAAGGGAGAGAGCGGCAAGAGCATAAAGTTTAGGTGAAAGGGTAAGAGATATTCAGTCATCCAGCAATTATTTACTGAATGAAGGCCTGTCTGTGCTAGGAGTTGGGGTGTAGAAGTGAGAAGAATAGACAAGAGTTCTCACGATCACGAAGCTTGTGCCTCAGACCATAAATAAGTGAAGATTTGGATGATGGAGATACTGGCGCTGTAAGACAGTGGGAATAGGGCAAGGAAGTTTCTTTCTTTTTAAAATAGGGTCCTCAGGGAGTTGTTCATTAGAGACTTGAAGGTACCAGGGAGCCAACCATGAGACGTCTGAGAAGAGGGCACATTGAGAAATAACTGAAAGGATTTTGACTCCCTTTGAGTGGGATGGAAAGCCACTCGAGAATTTTGAGCAGAATAACAATACAATCTGACTTATTTTCTGCATTCTCTGGCTTCTTTGCAGAGAATGGACAGTGGGGAGCCATGACGGAACCAGGGGCTAGTTAGCAGGTCATCGGAGTAGTTCAGTGGAGGTGATGGCGGCTCGGATCAGGTTGGGGGGTGTAGGTAGGGCGTTGCGGATTATTGATTAGTGTCGAATGGTCATTTGCTTGTGGGGAGAGGCTGATAGGAGACAGGAATGACCTCAGCTCGGCAGGAAGGACGGACTTGGAATTTGCTGTTCGCTGAGATAAGAAGATGGCAGGAGGGCAGCTCTGGGAGAGATCAGATGATCGCTTCCCTCCAGTTTTCCAGGAGTAGTGTGGACAGAAGACAGCTGGATGTATGAGGGTCGTTATTTAAATGCTCAGTTTGTACAGGTTGGTAAATTATGAAAGTTCTAGATAAAATGATATAAATAAATATCTCCAAAACTGCTGTAATTTACAAGTTATTCATTTGGAAATAATGCAGAAAGATTAATTTTCTTAAATTCACTGATAAGAAAGTCGATCCACATTGCAAGTTCCATGTTCTATCAAGTTTAGTAATTCTAAAATAGGCAAATAATTCCCATAATTGACTAAACAAAGTAATACTTTCAACTGTGTTTACACTACATGCATCTTTAAAAAAGTATAGGCAATATCTATAGGAGGCTTATATGAAAATTAGGTTTTTTTTACGTTGGTGGTTTGAAAATGAGTATTTTAATGTAAGCTTTAGCCTTAAATGGTGAATACAGCTGGCTCTGAACATAAGTGATTTTTAAAACTACTTTTACATTTTAAAAGTTCCTTCTTTTTAAAACAATTTACTCACTGTAATATATGTTACAAGTTGTTTAAAGGGCAAATGCATTTCAAAGTCTTAGGTATTCCTTTTTAAGTAGTAGGATGTATAATCTAACACTAATACCTTAAAGGTGTATGTACTTATCCTAATTTTCATTGAAAAAAGCAATCGAATGTTTTTTCATAAATTCTTAAGACATTTAAACTTCATGCGGTCTGAGCTTAGTGAGGATGAGTAGATTACTACAGTTGCTTAAATGAAGCGCCTGTGCCCATAGGTCATGTGTGGTGGTCTGGCCGAATGAGGTCTGTTTGACCCGGCTGTTTGAAAGGGATCACTTCCGACCGCTCAGCCCTGTAACAGCAGCTCTGTCTGACACACAGGAGGCGCTGCACGTGGCGGGGGCGGAGATGCAGGTGACGGCGGCCATGTCGTTTCTGACCATCCTCCAGGAAGAGTCCGTGTCGGTGCACACCTATGCTCACTCCTTCCTGCAAGTCATCCTGCTGCACCTGGAGCACAGGGACGCAGGTCAGACCAGCATGCGTAGCTGTGCATTTTCTTGCTTCCTGGATGTGACAGTGATGTCACCTGGATCTGAGGGTCGCCCCAGGAGGCCGCCTGCCCCAGCCGGGGTGGTGATTGGCACAACTAAAAACAACCCTGGCACTTCCCTTACCAGCTGGACAACCAGGAACCTTGAAAGCTGAAGACCCACTCATCATCTCATGATTTATAATTTCTCTTGAGTTTCTTTCTCTACAACCTTTATGTTTATAGTATTGTACAGCGAAAGTGCACATTTTGGATGAAAGATAGCCCCCAGTATATTTTTGAAAGTATGAAACTTTTCTAGATGTTGGCCAAGACACAAAATAGAGAAGCTTCTTTTAATAGTACTAAAAGTAATTATTCCCATGAACCATTAAGTGCTGTCGTAACCAATAATGACTGAGTTGAAAGTGAATTTGTAAGTGAAGCACACGCTCTTCCATCCATCAATCAGGTGTCAGCAACGCCTGGCTGGAAACCCTCTTGTCGGTGATAGAAGTTCTGCCCAAAGAAACCCTAAGGCACGAGGTAACACCTCCTTTTTTTTTTTTTTTTTGTAAATACTAGTAAGTTACTCTTTTATAAAAATTAAAATGGCATTTTAAAAAAATTCATTTATTTGTGCATACAGAACTAAGGTACAGGCCAGAGGTGCAGGGGTGGTGAGAGGATTCACCAGAGACAGAGCGGGGAGCAGAACAGGCAGACTGATGAAGTAACTGCTGAGGGGAGCAGCGGGCGGGTCAGGAGAGGTCTGCCACGCCCTGTGGGTCACCTCTGGGGCAGGGATCAAACTCCTGTTGAAGTGGCTTTAGCTTCTCAGTGTTGTGCTTTAACCCATTGCACCACAAAGGAGGGCCCCCAACTGCTGCAAATTCTTTTTACTCGTTAAACATTTAAGCCTAGCTTCAGTATTTTACTATCAAAATAAGGCATTCATGAATGTTTCTGTAGAGCTTTTCTTGTTTTTTAAAAAATTTCCTTAACTACAGCTTCCAAAGTGGAATTACTGGATCAGAGGGCATTACTTTTAAGGCTCGTGACTAACCATGTATGAAAATGCGTGTTTTTCTGGCCTTGTATCAGCAGGTGCATTCCAATTTAATTTGATGGGCCACTGGAATTTTATTATTTTGGAATTTTTTTATTATCTTGATTATTTTCTCATATGTTGTATGTAGAACATTTTCTTTACCCTTTTGAATTGTTTGATTGTATCCTTTCTTTGATACAATTTACTAAATACACTACCTATCCATGCTATTTATCTGTAAAGTTTACCAATCCTTTACAATACTTATTGTAAATTTTGTTACCTATTTGTTAGTCTTAAACTTTCAGCATTGTCCAATATGTGCTTTTCTAAGTTTTTGTAAATTAAAGTGAAAGAATTGGAAAACTAGAAATGAAATTTATTCTTTAATGAAATGCTTTTTCTCACCCATTCTTAGAATACATTTCCTATATATGTTTCCCTTCTAATATGTCTTGGTTGGAAATGTTATCAGTCAGTGACACATCCACAAGCGTCTTGTCCTTTCTTTGTCCTCAGGCAGGTCATCCTATCTTGAGGTCTGAACACCTGCTCGAAAATGGGTGTAGTAATAAGGATGTTTGTATACTTGCTGCCAAACATCTAGGTGATGACACATATTTAAATATTTAACATCATGTTGACATATGTTCTTTATATTTTTTAAAGAGGGATTTGTAGAACAATTTTTATGCCAGAATGGTGTATGTTATTTAACAGGTGATTTTTTTTTATGTCTTTTTCTCAAGACTTTCACTTTTTTAAAAGATTTATTTATTTATGCATACAGAACTGGGGTACAGGCCAGAGGGGCAGTGAAAGGACTCCACCGGGACAGAGTGGGGAGCAGAATGGGCTGACCGATGAAGTACATTGTTGAGGGGAGCAGAGGGGTCAGGAGAGGTCTGCTGCACCATGTGAATCACCCCCGGGGCAGGGATCAAACTCCTGCAGAAGTGGCTTTAGCTTCTCAGTCCTGTGCTTTAACTCACTGCACCACCAGTGCAGTGAGGGCCCGACTTTCACTTTTAAATAAATTTGCCATTATGTATTCAGTAATTCTGGCCACTTTGTTGAGAGAGGAAAAAAAGAGTTGATTTCTTTGTTTGTGTTGCTAGAGTCCTAGAATTTTAGAATTCAGAGGGATCTTCGTAAGACATATTTGAATTTCCATCTCAAGTCGATGAGAAGACTTGGGGTAAAGAATAGCAAGATTATATGCACAGGTTACAGAGCTTGGGCCAGAGCCAGGGTGTGCTCCTCACTGTTCTACACAGGCTCTCATGCTGTTGGGCTTCTGAGTGCCTGTGACAGGCACGATCCAGGATCTCTCTGGGTATTACATTAAATTCCAGAACTACTTAATTGAATCCATTTAAAGCTATATTGTCTTCTATCCCTCTAGGATAGATATAAAAAAATTATGTGAAATAAAAATAAACTTCAAGCTATCTGGCAATTAATTTACCTTTTTTCTTTTGAAAATCTGTATTTAAAAATTATGGTTTGCATGTATTTAAATTTAAATCACTGTAGAATTCACAGCATGCTTTAATTCATTTATTTGGTACCTAACTATGTTTAACTGATAAAACTTATCATCTTTACTTTCACAATCCAATCCAAAAGGCAGACAAAGTGGATCTGGGTTCTGAACAACCATGCATCTCAAGTTGTAATTCAAATTCTTTAAAAACATTTAGGAATTAAAATATTCTTTGAACAAAATAGCTGACATTAGTGGCAATATATATAAAGTTTTGTGAATTTGTTTTCTAAATCTTTTCTCTTTAGATTTTGAATCCACTTGTTTCCAAAGCACAACTTTCACAAACAGTCCAGTCTCGTTTAGTTAGTTGTAAAATTTTAGGAAAATTGACGAACAAATTTGATGCCCACACGTAAGTATTTATATATAATGTCTGCCTTCTTTGTTAAATTGATTTAAAATGACTGTGTGATAATTGTATTAGTTTGTGTTATTCCACGCTCTATATGTTGTAGTTAGAATTCTCAAAATTCTACATTCACACACTTCTCCTTGATCTCATGGCTCTTCAAAATCAGTGAGGTTAACTTTGCTTCTCTTTCCTTCTTAACCTTCCCTGTTTCACACACATCCAGTGTAATTTGAGGATATCATGGCATTAATTGGTAAACATAGATAGACTTGTTTTCTTTCATTGTTGTGATGAATTCATTCTTTTAAATGAAGTATCTTGTTTTAAGGTTTTATGGAGAATGGCTATAATTCATAAACTAGATGATAAATACCAGTAGATTTGTAGAAACGATAGAATGTGATAGATGTTAATATAGTTATGACCCAAGAGTAAAATGTAGAATTGAAGAGTATTTTGGTTGATATTTTTTAGATATTCCACTTCCCTGTAGCCTTTATTGTAACTAAGACATTTAGCTGCCAATTCCTAATTACCTGTTATTTTAAAAAGACCCAAACATAAGTAATTCACAAGTAGCTGATGACAACATCCAAATATAATAATATATGTAAAATGTAAAGCAAGCTGTAAAGCAAAGTATAATTGTTATTAAGCTAAGATTTTAATGATTATTTGAAAATGTTAATAATCGGAAACACTCAACCATTTGCATATTTCTTTCTTCCCCCTCTAAGCATTAAAAGAGAAATACTTCCCCTAGTAAAATCACTCTGTCAAGATGTAGAATATGAAGTTCGGTCCTGTATGTGTCGGCAATTAGAAAATATAGCTCAGGGCATTGGGTAAGTACATGTTCAATTCTTTACATCAGCTATGTCTTCTGTCCTCATTGTCAGATCTGCATATCCCAACCTCTATTCCATGAAAGCATGCTACCAAATGACTAAACTTTCTATGATCTTTGATAGTGATCATAACAGTACACTCTGAGCTCTCTGTTGGGTTGCCAGAAAAGTTATGACATATTTTTTCCTGTGTTTTTTAAGCAAAAATGCATCATGACTTCTCTGACAACCCAATAAATTAAAAAAGATGAAAGTGAGGATGCTGAGTGTTCTTGATGTTAATTTATTTCACTTGATGTTTATTTATCTCCTTTTCACTTTATCATTCCAAACACCTACATTGAGTAAGGGAAAATGTCCCAATATGAACCATGCTTGAAATACAGCCGTGCTGGAAGCTGCCTTATCGTGTATCATTTCAGTAGCATCGCTCCGAGGATGCCTCTTATTTTCTCCTGAACAGCTGCGCACTGCCTCTGCCTGCTGCTAGCTCTTCTTGCCTTGTGGTGCCTGGAGCACAGGAAGGAGCAGTGTAGGGCAGACAGTCTCCTCTCACCCTTTAAAGCATTTCGTGTCAAGCTATACATAGATGAAAGGGAATTTTATGTAAACACCAACTTGGGAAATGATTTTTGTTTAAAAAGTATCATAAATGGATTCAAAAACAACTTAACCTTCTCATTTGTAATAGAAGTTGCATTGATTTCATCTGGTTCTTTGCTGCCCAAGCAAGGACAATCAGGTTGCTGTAATCTGTATGATGACATTTTCAAGCTGTGTGGACCAATATTTAAGGCTTAGAAAGACATTAGAATATCACAGAGATTCAGAGTAGAGCTATGTCCTTGTCATGTGGCCACCCTTGCTGAGTAGGGCTTCAGTGTTGTGCTGGATGCTTAGCGTGTCAGCAGGGCACACAAGCCCTAGGACTGACTTCTTTCTGATAGAGCTCCTGAGGCGGGGCTGCCTCGGGTCATTGTGCACCTGCTTTATTCAGTCTTACCAGATCTGCCCTCCTTAGCCAGGATCAGAACTATTAGGACAGATGGACAGTGACATGCCTACTGTGACATTTGGACAAAGAAGAGGGGCATATACTTCATGAAGAAGAAATACAAGTGCTTAATAAGCATAGACTCAACCTCCTAGCTGTCAGTGAAATATACTCAATGAGTATGTATTGGGTGACCACCATAGTAAGCACCAAATACTGCAGGGTGATCTAATAGTGAAAAAGGCATAGTCCTGTCCTTCAGGAGTATATGAGTTTAGAAAGAGATGTCAAGTACACAGTTGTTGAATACTGTGGAACAGGTGCAAACACAATAGTGAAATACAGCTTTGCCGATGAAATTGGGGAAGTTAGTAATGAGACCTCATTGTGGCCGAGGGTCAGGCTATGTCATTGTAGACCAGCAGCCTCAACTTAGTCTACTTGAGTCCTGCAGCAAATATACAATTTTTGCTTATTTTCACCTGTATTATTCCATTTTTAGAGAGAAATCTAAGGAATTAATGTCAAAATGTATGAAATAATGATAGAAATGAACTCTTAGACAATGTCTTACTACCTGTGAGACTCAATTCTGGGCGATTTACATCTATGAACTTATTATTCTCACATTTATTCTTTTAGATAGATAGTATTGTTATTCCTTTTTGTTTACAGATGAGGAAGTTGAAGCTCAACGAGGACATATATAATTTAAGTAGGATGAAAGTCTGGAATGCAATACGTTGTCAGAAACTCAAAATTTCTCAAAGTAGAGGGTTATAGGTTATTTTAATTCATTTTTATACTTCTGTGTTTTTAAAAATTTAACAATGAGCATCTGAAAATGCTATTTTAACACATAATATGGTAGTTCTTAATGGCTTTAAATGAATTAAGAATCAGAAAATTATCTAGGCTGGCAGGTTGAAATCAAAATGTCATTACTAACTATTAATGAAATAGAGAGTTGATTATTTACCTTTCTTATTCAGCATTAATAAATTATTATACAACTATTAAAGAATTATTGCTTATGATTATTTTTATTGTTGCTATCGGGATATAAATGCAACAGTTTTATACTTTTTGGAAAAAATAGTCTAAAGATTGAGTGGAAATAACTTGACAATAAACAGATGAATTTTAAAATCTTAACCTATTTCATTAAAAATAAGTTCTAGTATTTTAATGTATATACTAATATATTCTGAACAAAGCTTATTTGAAAGAAATTTTTATGATCTATGGGTCAGAATTATTCTCTTTTATTTCTTTACTTTCCTCTCTTCTTCCTACATTTGATGGATGTTAAGTTGCTCACAATGTACGTATGCTCTAGATTAATTTCTTATAAACAATTTTTGGTCTCCGAATTCCTCAAGTCCATGTCTTAAAGCTGTGTTGCCCAACATGGTAACCACTAGCCAAATGTGGCTATTTATTATTATTATTATTATTTTTTAAAGATTTATTTATTTGTGCATACAGAACTGCGGTACAGGCCAGAGGCTCAGGGGCGGCGAGAGGCTTCACCAGAGACAGAGTGGGGAGCAGAACAGGCAGATCGACGAAGTACACTGCTGAGGGGAGCAGCGGGCGGGTCAGGAGAGGTCTGCCGCGCCATGTGGTCACCTCCAGGGCAGGCGGGAATTGAACTCATGCGGAAGCGGCTTTAGCTTCTCAGTGCTGTGCTTTAACCCGCTGCGCCACCAGGGAGGGCCTATTTATTATATTTTTAAAAAGATTTTATTTATTTTTTTGCAAAGAACTGGGGTATAGGCCAGTAGTGCAGAAGGTGAGAGGATTCACCAGAGACAGAGTGGGGAGCAGAACAGGAAGGCTGACTGAAATAACGAGCAGCAGGGAGAGAGGAATTTCTGCTGTGCCATGTGTGTCAGCTCCCTGGCCGGGGATCGAACTCAGACCACAGCGTGATAGCCTAAGACTCAACCCCTAGGCCCCAAAGGAGGACCCATGTGTGGCTATTTAAATTAAGTAAAACTAAATAACCCCTCTCCTTGGCCGGTCTGACCCCATCTTAGATGCCGAGCGGCACTGTGACTACTCTGGCCTGTGCAGGTGATGAACATCCTCTCAGAGAGCACCCAGGGCTGTACCACAACCCCGCTCCCAGGCTCTGTGCCGCATCCTGCAGTTTGCAGGTGTTCTGCAGCTTGTACAGACTTTTTCATATTCTGTCTAGTTATGATTCATCCCATTTTCCATCTTGTACCCAAGAAAGCTGGTTGTGCCACCAGCCAGGCTCCCTCTCATGAGAGTGTGTCATGGCAGCGAGGTCTTCTCATGGTCAATAAGCAGAAATAAAGTAACAAATGAGCAGAACCATTTGTGACTGTATTATAAACATGGTATAGCCCGAAAGCAATTTATAATGTGAATTATTCTTTTAGATGGAGAATCTGCATCATTCTAGATAGACTTTAGCAACTATACTCCTCTGTTTTAGGCCAAGGAAAAAGTGACTTACACCCTGAAATCTAAGTTAAAAGATTTTGTTTGGGTTTCTACAATTACTACATAAATGAGTCTAGTCATTTGTTGAAACTATGTTATAACTTATAAAGCTTGATATGTATTTCTCGTCAAGGTCTCTGTTATCATAATGTAGTGTGTGGGGGTGCTGGAATTTAACAACTTTGTCGTGACTACTACTGTCTCTTACATTTATATCCTGCTTCCCCAACCAGACTGCAAGCTTCTGGGGAGCTGAAGCTCAGCTTGTGATTTCTCTCTCCTGTTTTCCATATCAGTTAGCCTGCTGATTTTTCTTGCTATGTTCTTGTTTACTGATTTGATTTATTTTCTTCTTGTGCTTCTGTTTCTTCTGTTGCTGCAGGACAGAACTTACAAAAAGTGTGGTGCTCCCTGAATTAATAGAACTCTCTAGGGATGAAGGCAGCAGTGTGCGGCTGGCCGCTTTTGAAACGTTGGTTAATCTGCTTGACATCTTTGATACAGGTAAATTTCCGAGGACACGTGGCTGCTTTTGGAAGCAGTGCTTTCTGCAGGCTTTTGTCTCACTAACGAAGAATAAAGGACAAAGTTTCTTATGCTCAGCTATAGGATGACTGTTAAGCCTCCTCCCCTTCTCTCTTTTTTAAAACAAGAAATTTACTTATTTATGCATATTTTACATCATTCTTCACTTTGTGAACAATCTTTACTTCCCCGCTCTGGTGTAGATTCCTTAGGATTTATTTCCAAGTTCAGCACAGTCCCCTTTGCTCCTCCCCACCCGTGCCCAGCTGTCCCCTCCCCCCCGGATGTCTCTGGTTTCTAGTTGTCTGTTTCTGTGTTGTGTTTTGTATGGTTCTTAACCCTCCATGTCTCTCCACACTGAGCCCTGGTCTGCTTCCTCCTCCGGTCTCCAGCGGTTTTGTCCTCACAGCACCAGTATTGCGACATATGCCACACCTCCCTCTTTCTCTTCTCAAAATTTAACTGACTTGCTTAGAAAGCTACAAAGTTTTCTTGGTGATAAACCTTTAACTTACTCAATTAATTTATCCAACTAAACAGATCTTAACTGAAACAATGTCTATAGTACTTTTCTCTCCTTAATAGTTTAATGCTAGTCATCTCCTGGCTGTGGGAGGAGAAACTGGGAATGGTGAATGAGGACGAATAAGGAATAATTTCTTACTTTTGTGCAAATCAAATCATGAAGATAGTTATTTGCTCTACTGAGTGATTAGACTTTTGGCTAATGTGGGTCCTCAGTTTTTGAGTAAATGTTAAACATTTTTGATAGGGTGAAATTTGCAGGGGTAAGGTCAAGTTCTCTGATCCAAAGCTCTCTTGTGCAAAGATTGCGCTACGTGGAACAATGACATGCTAACTGAGTTCTGTTAAAGATGACTGCACTGTGAGCAGTGATTACCCACAGGCGCTGCAGAGGGATTGTGCACGTGAACGGGTCTGAGGAGTAAGACTAACCTGACGAACTGAGGACCCAGTATCCTTGTCCTAACAGCAGGCAGTGGGCAGCCCCTGCCGTCATCTTTGATTTCCCCCTCTTGTCTGCCCACACGTGGTCGTCCCAGATCCCGGTCTGCCCGTATTTGTGGCTTGCTCCCTGCCCACTTCCCTCTGGCTGGCGCTCCGGCCCTGTTTGCCATTGCCTTGGCATACCAAACCCTGTCACACTTCCACATTTTCTTTTCTCCTCCTGTTTTCCTCCCTTCCCTCAGTTTTTCTCTTGGCCAACACGTTTTCCTTCTTCAGTACCTATTTCAAATGGTTTCTCTTCTGACATCAAATTTCTTATAGTAGGAATTGGCAAACTGTGGTCTGTAGGTGGAATCTTGCTCCCATGGGAACACAGCCATGCCTGCGTGCTTATGGATTTATTGTCTAACTAGGTGTTAAGAGTGATAGAGCTGAGCAGTGACAGAGTGCAAAGCCTAGAACGCTTGCCAAGAAAATTTGAAGGCTCCTGACTTACGCCAGCTGTTAAGATAGTAGTCACCTATTCTTGTGATGCATTTTTATCCATTTTACTTTTAAATTCAAGTAACATTGCTTTGTAACATTATGGCAATCTCAGGATTTAGGGTATGTTTTTGTCTGGCTTCTTTGCTGGTCTGAGCTTCTCAAGTTCAGAGACCATTTAAAATTCATTTCCCTGTTTAAGATAAAGCTTGCTCTGTAAGATATTCAGTGCATGTTTGTTGAATGTGAATGTCTTGGTAAAAACAATAGATGTGGTTCTGAAGTGTGATGACAATGACAATAGTAATGGTGATACTAATAAGCCTCTTAGAACATTTTACTTTGTGTTATGAGATTCATAATAATATGTGATTCATTTCTGTAAGTTTAAGAGAACTGTGAGAAATTTACAGTATTTAGAATTAAGATTTAAATATTGTTAACCTATCAGAAACTTCTAAGTAGGCATACTCAAAATGTCAATAAACTTTTCAAAGAATTATCATCAGAGAAGTACATATGAAGAAATTCGTTATACAGAATATATTATAAGGGAACTTAATTTTAGTAAAAAGTGAAATGATAAGCCAGGGGCAGCAGGAGGAGGGGTGCATCGTGTTGGGGTGGATGGTTAATAAAACTTCAGTGGGAGGTGTTGTGTGGTGACGCACATCTGTGATGGCGGAAAGCTGCCTCTGGAAACATGCAGTGTTTGCCATAAGTCAGCCCTACCTCAGAGGAAGAAATGATGAAGGGGCCGGAGACCTCGGCCTGGTGTGCCGTGTATGCCAAGAGAAGGTTTCCTGTTGCTACTCACCTGTTTGGATTGGCCATGTCAATTTGTTTTTATGATTTATTTTATTTATTTATGCATGCAAGAATTGGGGTGCAGGCCAGAATGTGTGTGTGGGAGGTTGAAAGGATTCGCCAGAGAGTGGGGAGCATAACAGGCAGATCCACTGAAGTACACTCTGCGGGGAGCAGCGGGGAGACAGGAGAGGTCTGCCGCGCCATGTGGGTCACTGGCTGGGCTGGAACTTGGGCTGCAGTGGCTACGATAGCTTCACAGTGTTGTCTTTAACTACCATGGAGGCCCAGTGGTGCCACTTCTAGTTATTAGGACTTACAGCCTGAAACATCCTCGCCTTTCCGTCTGTAGTCACTCTGTTATTCTGTTCTCAGTGGCCTACCAAACTCCTCAGCCAGCCAGTCAGGTCTGGGATAATCTTAACTCTCCTCCCATCTCTCTCTGTCACACACCCGCAGGATTGTTTTCAGATGCTTTCAATTACTATGAGGTTAACACAGTTCCGTTGTTGAATTTAGGTGCATGTATCAGTTCTCACCTGTCCAGTGAGGGAAACTGGATCTAGACTATGTCTCTTTCGCTTTGTTTTGCAGATGACAGAAGTCAAACTATACTTCCCGTAGTGAAATCATTTTGTGAAAAATCTTTCAAAGCGGATGAATCAATTCTCATTTCATTGTCTTTCCACTTAGGAAAACTATGCCATGGACTATACGGTAGGGTGTGCACAAAGAATTTGAAGGTCATAGAAAATGTGTGCCTTTTTCTTCTATCTTAGCCACTAAAGTGTGTAAAATCTTAAGAGAGTTTCATATTTTGAAATGACCTTTCCAGTAGTCGAATTTATTTGAAAGAATGGCAGAAGGGAGTGGCCATAGCCCTCTCAATTTCCGAATAGTTTATATTTATGCATTAGTTGGTATGTACTAATAGAAGCTTAGGAATAGTCACTGCTGTCATATACTAAGTATATTAGTAATCATTGGTTGAATAATTAATATATCATGTGAGTAGCTCAGCTTAGCAGATAGAATTGAATATATATTTTGAACGGTGGGCATTTGAACATATTTATTTCTTGGCTTCCTATAATGGTAACATTAGTTAAGGTATAATCATCTGGCATTGAGAAAACCTTTTTAATGTGGGTTGCACACATTTAATAAGCTGTTGAAAAAATGTGTTGCAACATATAATGAGTTCCTGTCCCTGCAAAATCATTCATGAATATGGAGAACCAGTGTACAAATCGAAAACACTTTTCACTGACTTTGGTGTCTTTTAAATTCGGGTTTAAGCAGACACATCTGCCTGTCACTTCTCAAGCAGTTGTAGAGTATGTGCCGCGCGTCTGTCGCAGGAATGCCTCTGGTCTGTGACCGTGACTCGTGGGTGACCTGTGGTTGGACACGCGCTGTGGAGGTGTGTGCAGGCACTGCTCCTGCACTGCATAGTTTAAATCACGAAATATGCTGTGGAAATGAAAATATTACTGCAGTGAACAGCAGTGATGCGGCATGACCTGTAGAGTTCGTCACAGTAGTTACTCTTTCCTCATTGTTAATTTTATTTATGCCCTTCAGGCATTTCTTTAATTTTTTTTCTAATTATGCTTTTATTGTATTTTGCTTTTTGCTTTTTAGTTTTTGTTTCCAGTTAAAATGTTAAGCAAAGGTTTTATGTTTGTTTTAGGAATTTTTACGCCAGATCAGCACTTGAGGTTTTTGGAGTTTTACAAGAAACTTTGTACCTTGGGTTTGCAACAAGAAAATGGACACAATGAAAACCAGATTCCACCTCAAATCCTAGAGCAGGAGAAGAAATATATTTCAGTGCGAAAGAATTGTGCTTATAACTTCCCGGTAATGAATTATGTATTCATGTGGACTAAATATTTTAATATATCTTAAAAGTGTGTGAATAGATGGCGTTATAAAATATCGCTATGTTAACAGTGACTGCTTAGCATTATATTTGGTATTTAGAATTAGGCACTAAGTAAATATCAGTGTGATTTGTATTGATCTCTGTAAATCTGAATTCCTTGTATACGTTGGTTTTTTCAGTTATGATTTTTAAGTAAACTGTGAATGTGATTTGTGTCCGTGAAGTAGGTTAACATTAAGTATTGATGCATGTTTTTCTCTTCTTTCCTTCCCTCCCATCCACCTCCCCTAGGCCATGATTGTCTTTGTCGACCCCAAAAACTTCCACCTGGAGCTCTATTCCACCTTCTTCTGCCTTTGCCATGACCCGGAAGTCCCAGTCAGATACACTATTGCTATCTGCTTTTATGAAGTAAGTCTGAGAAGTGATTCCATTTCCTGTTGCTGCTCATTTATCTATGAGGACTAGATCTGTCCGCTAGTCATTTCCTAAATCTTATTTTAAAATTCCAACAATTATCTTTGTAATATATTTACAGAATTAATTTATACAAATGCTTTGTATTCACTTATCATTTATCAACCCCCTTATTCAATGTCTCCACACTAAACACTTTAAGCCGGGCATTCTGGTGCGGCTGTGGGTGTTGCAGTTTTGGGGGTGGAATCAGTTTCATGTGCTTTATAATATTTATATTTAACTTTGATCCTAAATTTGGCAACAGCTGGAAAATTACTTAAATTTACTGTTTTTGCTGCCAAGTAGATTATTTCATGGTTGTGGCTTTTAGATGCCACCATTTCAACAACTCCCTATCATGTAAGAGCAAAATTTCAACTTTCATATAATGAATGCAGTTGACTTTTTAAAAATATTCTTGAAACATTTTTGAAATCTGGGCAGATTTCTGGAATACATTCTAAGCACATTTATGCTGTAGTTGTCATAAATATGCATGAGCTATAGCTTTTAAGCTTTGAAAATATCCTATAGCAATCTCGTTCTGTGTGGCATAGTAAGCTAATTCCTTTCTTCATAGGTATAATAAACGTCCTTATTCCCAATGATAATATTTCCTCCCCTTTCTTGAACTGTGTCCTCCCATCACAGTGTTGTTAGATGAGCTAAAAATGTGCAAGACATTCACAGCTTCATTATAAATGTCAACTTAAGATGTTTTTGGCCAGAGTGAGGCTGTCTTTGCTTCTTTTGAATAACATTTTTCTGAATGAAATCCTCATTGGGCAAAATCTAGAACACATTCCCTTAAGGTGGTACAATTACTGAAAATAATTTTAGTGCTGCACAGTCAAATCACTTTGTAACTCTGCCTTGGAAATGTGCTTTTGCAGCAGGAAAGAGGACTAAGGACACTGGCTGCTGGGAGAAATAATTGTCTCCAATGTCCACCCACAGTTAGGCTTGTCTCCAACGCTGCTAGTCTCTGTCCACTTAGTGACCTCCAGAGCTGTTTGCATGGGACGAGGTCTGAGAACACAATATTCATGTAGTATTCAAGTTTCTGTTGCTGTTTATTTGATCTCAGCCCTGTAATACTCCATTTTTACTTAGGTTTTATAGTGGACATAATGTGTTCACACCAAATAAACATTGAAATGTGCATCATGGAAAAACATTTCATTGGTGAGAGTGGATTTGGGAATTTTTGATACAGCTGTTTTCTGGTGGCCGGTTTCCCTGTTCTCACAGCTGTGCTGGTAGGAAGCGTAGTAATGCTGTGCTGCCCTGAGCGCAGTGGCTAGTCCAGGTTTGACCTTCTGACTGGTGCAATCACGTCTTTCTACAGCACTACTGCTAGATTTTCATAATCACCTTCCTGTGTGCTAACTTTATTCCTGTTTCACAGAATAATAATATTCTGAAAATACTTCAACAAGTCAAAAACAGCCCTGTAAAGCATGGGTTTCTTAAATTACTTTATCCAGAAATTTCTCTTTTATTCCCTATAAAACCTTACTCAAAAGAGAAAATAAATAAAGGTGAAGTAGAAATTGGTGGATTTATCTCTGTGGGCTGTGAGTATAAAGGAAGAGAAACTTTGCTTGTGAAGGAGCTGGGTTAGCCCAGCCCCCTAGTCCTTTCATGGTGACCAAAGACCTTCGTTAAACCTGCTTTTGTTGTGAAGCTCTGGACCTGGATGAATGTTCTATGTCTGGAATATTCTGTCAGATCCTGGTAGCTGCTCTCAGTGTCTTCAAGTGTAACTGGGGTCACCCATGGGCTCTCATTGCTTTGCCACTCCAGTGCTTCCCACCGCCTGTGTCCATGCTCCAGCATGGACACAACAGACTGAAGAGCTGGTTACGCATGCCATTAAATTTTCTAGAAATGTTATTTTAGATTGTTGTGAACTAGTCTCATTTTAGAAGTATCTTAACAGGGATGTATTAAAAATATATTATTATGAACTTTCTATGTCTAGTAGTCTCAAATCTGAGAGACTTTATTGCTGCGTTTTAGGTGTCTAAACTTCTGAATTCTGGAGTATATTTAATACATAAAGAACTAATAACATTATTACAAGACGAATCACTGGAGGTAATATCTTCTTACTCTTTGGTTTGTACTTTTATGTTAAGTCCAAATATCAATGCATTTCTCCCCACTACCTTTTAGGAAGTCTATGAAGTCTTGCACTTGACTAGCCCCAGAAATTTCAAGTCGATGTACAACTGTATCATAGACTGGGAGTTGGGATGCTCTTTAAAAAATATTAAATTACCGACTGTAATAATTTTAAAAGATATGTACATGTTTTTAAGGAAAATTTAGAAATGTTGAAGTATAGAAATATAAAAGAATATCTTTATTCTTCTTATCACTCTTGCTATTTTGTTAATTTTTTCATTTTCTGTTTTTTCCTATATAAAGGTTTTTAGAATATATTTTTTATATAGAAGATTTTATTTTGCACCATTATACTCATATGCTATATTTTATGTCTTTTCCCCCTCATAGTTTGGGGGTGCACATGTAAAGACTTGGAAATATCTCTGTTTTGGTGTTCCATGTAGTATATCCAGTTCATCTTATGACTTATAGCTTGTCAAACTCAACTTATCAACATTTAGTTATCACTAGAGTGTTATCTGACTTACGTCACTTTTCAAAAGTTGGGAAGCAGTTTTTGAGTGTGTTGGTGTATGGAAGTTGCTGCCTCAGACCTAGGCCATTTGAACAATATCAAGAGTGAGATGGACTAATCTCATTTCTAAAGTAGTTTGATCAAAGCAGTTGATTATGCTGCTAAGATATTCCAGCAAAAAGATGTCAGAGTAAGAAAATAGAATCTCCCCCCCCCCAAAAAAAAAAAAAAGAAAAGTGTTTGGTAAATTATACTACTACTGTGTAGAAATTGACAGATGAAGTTAACTAATGTAAGATTAGAAAAACATGGTAATCACTCTAAGAGTCATCAATATCTCTATTAAAAGGTACTAGATGCTCTTATAGATCATCTTCCAGAAATCCTGGAACTTATGTCTACTGGTGGAGAAAGCAGTATTCAGGAAAATAAGGCAAGTCTCATGTACCAGCAAAGTCTCTGAATGTTGTAAGTATTGCCTTACTCTACAGTGCTGTTGTGAGGAATCAAGGAAAGAATGTATGAAAAGCATCTAAAGTGTGCTTGCCACATAGTACATACTCAGTAAATACCTGTCAGAATTGAATGGCTTGAATTTCTTCTTTAATTCTTACACTACCATGATTTCTTACTACTTCTCCTCAGAGTTTACACCACTTTTATTAGCAATAATGATTATTTCAAGAGTAGCAACTGGTGAGTACAACAGGGTGGGATTTAGAGGGTCCAGGTTTGCTGACAGTAAACTTTGTTACACTCTTGTATAGGCAGAAGAGCTACTATTGTGTCATCAGTCAACCAGGAAGGATAGTGAGTCCTTATCTCTGTCAAAATCTGGTTTCCAGTAACTGTATATTTTACTTATGGATTCTTGAGCAAGTATCTGTTGTCACCAGATAATTTTATCCACAGATAATTAACAAAGATGGCTCCCTGAAATGTGCTAAATCACCCTCCGACCCAGTGTGTTTAAGGCGGAACCAATTGACCAGATGCTGTGGTGGGTGTATAGAGTTTTCACGACTGCTTCTGATGTGTCTCTTTCAGTTGTCGTCTCTGCCTGACTTGATTCCCGCCCTCACAGCTGCAGAGCAGCGAGCTGCAGCCTCTTTAAAGTGGAGAACCCACGAGAAGCTCCTACAGAAGTATGCCTGCCTGCCGCGGGTCATATCCAGCGATCAGATTTATTACCGTTTCTTACAGAGAATGTTCACAATCATGATGACAAATGTGAGCCCAGAAACTTTTCCCTTATTCTTTGGAACTCACACCTGAAATCGTGCAGTCATTCCATCCTGTGTACAACGATATCATCTTCCCAGATCTCTGAGGAGGGAGCTCAAGTTTCCCTTTACTTCTCTGCTGCTTCTCTCTGACCATCTCCCACCTTGCGGGAGAGAGGCACGGCCAGGCGGTGCCTTCGCTGGCCCTTGGCTTGTATCTGCGTGTGTTCCCAGGCATGCGTGAACACACTCATGCCACACTTGACATTCATTTGGCGGGTTGGTCTCAGCTGCACAGCACACCTGTTCCTGGCACATGCCACTTTTCATGACATTGAATTTTGGAAATGACTGTTATCCGGTAGAATATTCCAACTCCGTATTTGTCAGATTGCTTCTTTTGGTGTTAGCTGGCCATATTTCTTGGAAGCACAATCTAGAAAAACTGCTGTGTGTTTGTGACTGCATCACCTTTCAGGAGGGTTGTTGATTTTGTGCGCCTGGCAGGGGGCTAGGAATGGCTGTGCAGGTTGAGGCAGCTGTTAGTCCCTGCAAAGCTGGGCCTCGCCCTTGTCGTCTGCACTGTCATCGGAAGCTGGCACCACCCTGAACACCCAGTTTCTGCCAGTCGTTCCCCCATATGTTTAGCATGCACGGAGGGTCCTTGCCTGAGTGAGCTGCTTCCTTAGACCCTGTGAGAGTGGTTTTTAAGCTTTCTGTGTTTTGGCCTACTTCTTTAATGCCCTTATCTGAGAAGGAATACTTCTCTTCATCCACCTGTTCACCGTGAAATACGGTTCCTATGAAAGTCAGGATGCTTCCTTAATTCTTTTTAATTATCAATCTTCTGAGCTAGGAGTTGGTATAGTAGCAGTTTTTGTTTTTGTTTTTGTCTCTTTTATACGAGCCCTTTAACTTTTGAATGCTAGATAATAGCAGTATTAAATACTAAATATTTTAACCAGTTGCAGTCATATTTGTGTGCCAGTTGTCATGACCTCTTCAAACTATTTTGTGCTTTTGATATGATTACATTTATCTTTGATTTCTGCTCCAAAGGATGTCTGATTGTATACTCTAAAGTATAATATATACTTTTCCTGTGAGGTATAAAATATACATTTGTATAGAACTAGTTTATAAACATTTGTAGGTCTACTAATGCACACACTGCAGAAGGAGTAGCATGCTTAGCTCATTTGTCTGAACTTCATTTTCTTAAATCTAGTGGTGGTTCTGTTCATGTATATATCTTAAATTTTCTGTTCCTTTTAATTGGTTTTTACTGACATAATGTGGCATAACATACACATTTTAGGGGTGCACTGTTATAAATCAACATTTATATGATCTATATTAAATTCACTGAAAGTTCAATTCTGTCCTATGCCATGAAAGTGTCTCCTTGTATCCAATGTACCTGCTCCCTCCCCTCCTTCCCTTTGGTCCCTAATTTGGTCATATAATCTATAAGTTTATTTTTTCTTTCAGCTCATATTTATCTTATTTAAATATTTTATTGAAGTAACTCTGGTTTATAACATGAGAGAGCCAGATGTACAGTGTTACAATTTGACATCTATATATGCTACATCAGATGATCCCCTCACCAGAAATCCAGTTTGCATCCACTGAAAGCTTATTTTTATTTTATTTATAGTTCATTGTTTGACCTCTCTATATGCTAGTGAGTGATGATAACGGGTGAAACTATACAGTATTTATCTTTCTCCACCTAATTTATTTCACTAGGCATAATTCCCCCAGGTCCATCCAGATTGTTGCAAATGGCAGGGTTTGCTCTTGTTTATAGCTGAGTAGTATTCCACTGTGTACCCGTAGACTACATCTTTACCTATCACCTGTTGATGCACATGTAGGTTGCTTCTGGCTCTTGATGATTGTAGGTGTTGCTGCAATGAACACCAGGGTGATCTGTCTCTTTGAATTAGTGGGTTTTGTTCATATTTTCAGGGATACTTAGAAATAGGGTAGTTGGAGCAATGGGATTCCTACTTTTAATTTTTTTGAGCAATCTCCATACTGCTGTTCTCATAGTGAATATTCTTTTTTAAGGATTCGGCAGATTCACATGGGCTAGTACTCAACAAAAGGGAAATAGGTTTTATAATGAAAGGAAGCAGCAGCCTATATCCTCCCAGGAATGTGAAGTTTTCTGTGGAATCTTCAAGAATGTCCATTATAAGAGTCTGACTCTTTATTTTAGAATTGAATGTAATATTTCTAGGAAGTCAGGATGGTGAGCATGACTTTATACTGCATACAGTGTATCTGCTTGAGAGATTTTCTCTATGCATATTTTGAACCCAAACCCAGTAAAGCAGATGGTTCATGTAATTAGGAGTTAAGGTTCTGCCTGAGGTATGAAGGAGTTCAGAGGACTAAAGAGTTCAGAAAGAACACAGGCGTGACTGACATGGTACCCCTTGTCTTTACGGGCCAGGGATCTCAGTAGATGACAATGGGGTTGAAGAGTGAGAAACCAGAAGGATCTAAATGTATACTTGATCATGGAATCTATTAATCCATATTTTAGAAATGGCACAATTTTGATGACAGCTGACATTGTGTATGCTTTTGCAAATGTTTGTCAAATAAATGAGGTAACAAGGTCCAAGAAATGGCTAAGAGGAATGGGTGATGAGTCAAATATAAATCACATCCGATGACTTGAAAAGGACTGTGCTGAATTAAAGTAACTTTGTAATGTGACATATTAGTTGATTTCCTGTGTGATATTATTGCTAAATTCTGAAGATGAGACACTTAAACAGTAGTTGAGAAGCAGACATCACTGTTCACTCTTTTAGTCAATAACTTAAAATTGATTTGTGGAGCGATATTGTGCTATATACTATATATACTAATAGGTTATATACTGTTAGACTCATTTAATTGTCTTTCTTATTTTTTTAAAGAATGTCTTACCTGTCCAAAAGGCAGCTTCACGAACTCTATGCATTTTTTTACGCTATAATCGTAAACAAGACCAGAGACTTGAGGTCATTCAAAAATTAATTGAACGTAAGTAGCCTTTGTCTTTTCATTTTGGAAAAAAAAAAAAAAAAGAATGGAAACAAATTGGTTAGTCTTAGTTAAACCTGACTTCCTTTCCTTATCATTTGTCATCGATAATTAGGCTAATGTTGAAGCAAACCTAGAGTATTTTTTGTATTTAATTTTTGTTGATTTCAGATTTATGACAGGATCAGATATAGATATTCCATCGATTGTACGTTTCTATACTTGAGAAGTTAAAATACATATACTTCAGTTGAATGCCTAGTTCTACTCTAAGAAAGTTGAATTTGGAACTAAAATATAAACAGACTATCCATGAATCTAGTAATTTTTGTTCCTATTTTAAATATTAACAAAATAAAGGGCTTTATTTTTTTTTCATGAATAGGTTGCAGTTAAATATGTTAACCTAGTGAGCCTCGCTGGTTTATAATGTCTTTTAAAAATCAAACCAATTAACAAAGTGCAAATTTATTTTAAATTTAATGTAAATATAATTTATTTTCAATATGTAAAATCAAGGCAAAGACTTTTAATGTATTAATGCTAGATATAGTGGCACAGACCTATGCATATTTAGTGATTTTGTTAATTAGTATATAGTTGCTTTTATTAACTTCTATGATAAAGCACAGAAGGAAATGGAATTGGAGTTTACAATATTAAGAGTGAATTGCCACTTTTAAAAAAAATACATAAAATGTTCTCTAAAAAATTGTGTTTAGTATACTTTAATCTTACTTTTTAGTCTATTTTAATTCAGTTTTTATTAGTGATAGGACCTCATATTTATGATTTTAGTTTGAAACAAGATTCTATTTGATTTAAAGAATTACTTTTGCCTTTGAACATATAGGTAATAAAAGGAGAAATTACCCTTTGAAGAATGATCTGAATTATTCTCTGTAATACTGTTTATGTGTGACTTTATCCAATGAAAGGAGAACAGTTAATTTGTTAAATTATTTTGATGCATACAGAGAACTGCTGTTCCCAGCTCTGTGACTCTAACCTCTATTAATCTTAGTACCTGATTATTTTAGGCAGGATAAATTTAAGCTCATCCCACTGGGTTACTTTTCAAGATCAAATAAGATAATGTGTGAAGGTACTTACTATGTAGTGAGTGATGAAAAAATAGCACATATATTGAATTAAATATGTAATATTTCTGGAATTGAATGCATTATTTCATTGATTTTCTTCTGGTTTTGAGGTGTCAGAATTTGGAGACTAAAAATTTGAGCATATAAAATATGATTTTTAAAAATCTCTTGTATCTGCTTACAAATTGTGTAGCTATCAAGAAATTTACCGTGAACTTTGTCGAATGTCGTCACTTATAACTTCATGTCAGAATATTAAACTTAGGATTCTTTGTTTGTTTCTAGAACTGGGCCAAGGAAAAAGTTACTGGAATAGACTTCGATTTTTGGATACCTGTGAATTTATTATAGAGATCTTTTCCAAATCATTTTTCTGTAAATACTTCTTTCTACCTGCTATTGAACTGACACACGATCCAGTAGCAAATGTGAGGTACGGTGTCAGGCCACGAGAATATATGAAAAGTTGAATTTTTTTTTTTTTAAGATTTATTTATTTATTCATACAGAACTGGGGTACAGGCCAGAGGCTCAGGGGCGGTGAGAGGCTTCACCAGAGACAGAGTGGGGAGCAGAACAGGCAGATCGAGGAAGTACACTGCTGAGGGGAGCAGCGGGCGGGTCAGGAGAGGTCTGGCTCGCCATGTGGTCTCCTCCGGGGCAGGCGGGAATCGAACTCATGCGGAAGTGGCTTCAGATTCTCAGTGCTGCGCTTTAACCCGCTGCGCCACCAGGGAGGGCCGAAAAGTTGAATTTTTAATGGACATATGCAAAGTCTTTTCCTTGGTCTATTAAAAACACCGAGTGGAGAGTTTATAGTTGTTGTCTAGTTCTTTGTAGTCTAAGTTGTGAAGCACTGATAGGGCCTGGAGGCTAATCACCGACCTCTGTGTCTGCCCGTCGCCTGTTGGGTTGACAGAGATCGTGCAGGCCAGCAGGCTCCTCTGGTTTGCTTAGAAATTGAAAAAGAAAGTAGGTTTGCCCTTTTTTTCCCCCTAAATAAGATTGTTGTCTTTATTTTATTGTGGTAAAAATATAAGTTCCCCATATTAACCATTTTTAAGTGTGCAGAAAAATACTATTTCTTGAGAGAGATAGGTTGAAGAGAATTGAATCCTCAGCTGTTTGATCTCTGTTCTGCCCTGTGTCTCTGTCCTGAACCCAGGCTCCTAGGAGATAGTTCCAGCTCTGCTACAACTGTGTGTCTTTGGGCAAGTTACACAACCTCTCTGTGCACAGATTTCCTCAGTATCAAATTCCTAAGGTGACCTGAGGATAATGTACATAAGCGGTTAATTTACCAGAAAGGCCTGACCCCCAATCTCAAAATCTTTATAATCGCATCCTCATCAATCATTACTATAGTTTGTGTAGCTTCTGCTGAATATTTATTTTCTAGAACCTGCTTTGGATTATAAAGAATGAAGTGTGCATAGGCTGTTAACTGGTTTTTTTTCTTCCCTTAAGTAAATGTTTAACTTCACTGGCTCTAGATAATATCAGGGCTGAAAATAAACATTGGCATTCTAAGGAACCTTATCTTCTGCTGTCAGAAAGAAAAACATCTCTTTGGGGGACTGGGTCCCTTAATTAGAAAGAGCACCACCAGGCTAGCAGTATCCTTGGTGAGCTCCGAGTGAAGCCCTTTGGGCTGTTCACAGAGCTGGAAAGCGGAGGAGGAGCTGCTCTCTTGCCAGTTGGGTCAATAGCACATTCTGTTGCCTGCTCACACTCCTTAACTGAAGGTTCAGCTGAGAAGGCATTCTGGACAGTCTAGGAGCGGACACAGCTAGTTCAAGTTTTGGTGTAAAAATAAATCTGTCATAATTGGGGTGCCCTCAGACCAAAGAGTGAATTTGGTGGCGTAGGTGTGCAGGTGGCTAGCACCCTCTGACCGGCCCTGGCCATTTACCTGGGCAGCAGGGAGAACATGTCCTGTGGACGGTTTTCTCTCGCCTCTGGCCTCCAGTCTGGCCTCGCTTCCTGTTCTGTCCCCTCCGGCAGTGGTGGTACGCAGACTCTTGCTCTCTCTCCTTGTCTTACCTGTCCTCTGCCCTCTGCCCTGCTGGCCCCTCTAGTCCAGTGACTTACTTCACCTGAAGATTCCTTTCTTGTCCAGCACGGACGTTTGCGCTGGGCAGCGGCGCGTTACCCAGCTGCCCACTTAGCATTCCCACTGACTGTCTCTGAGGCACCCCAGATTTAATCTCCCTCATCTCAAGCCCCATCTTCCTCCTCTGTGCGGCGGCCTCCTCCTGTGGTCTCTTCCATTTCAGTAAATGGCCATCTTGCCTCCTGCTCAAGTCCACACCTTAGCCCCTTCCTATCTCTCCCGCCTTAGCCCCCCATCCTGGGGAGCACCAAGCACTCCTCTCACCCCACACTGCCCACAGTGCAGGCTCTGGTTCAGGCTGCACTGTTGCGCTGTCTCTCTTCCTGTCCTTCACCACCTCCCGACTGATCCCCACACTAGCCAGTGAGACTTTTTTTAAAAAAAAAAAAGTTGTTTTAAAGATTTATTTATTTATGCATACAGAGCTGGGGTGCAGGTCAGGGGTGCAGGCCAGAGGTGCAGGGGCAGTGAGAGGATTCACCAGAGACAGAGTGGGGAGCAGAACAGGCAGATGGACGAAGTCCACTGCTGAGGGGAGCAGCGGGTGGATCAGGAGAGGTCTGCCACACCATGTGGGTCACCTCCGGGTTGGGGACCGAACTCATGCTGAAGTGACTTTAGCTTCTTAGTGCTGTGCTCTAACCTGCTGCACCACCAGGAAGGGCCCAGCCAGATGACACTTTTTAAGACGTTAACGTCAATTCTCGGGGCTGTGCCAAGCCTCTGATGGCTTCTCAGTGCGCCCCAAAGACAAGCCGGTCCTCAGACACGGCTGCAGGCCCAGGTGGCGCCGGCCTCCTGCCGCTGTGCAGGGGCCTCTGCTCATCTCGCTTTGCTCCACCCACCCACTGTTGCCAGCTTGCTGATTTGGGCACATTTGCTGTTTTGAAGCAACATGCCAGCCAGGCCCACCTCAGAGGGCACTTGCGCTAACTGCAGTCACTGCCTGGAATGTTCTCCAGGTCCTTGTGGGACATCCTTCCTCGTTTTCTCTAGCTCTCTGCTTAATTGTCATCATTTCATGAAACCAACACTGAACCCTCTCTGTCGCATAGAAATTGGAATGCCCTTCTCTGGTGCCCCCGCCTCTCGTTCCGCCACGTTGTTTCTCTGTACAGCACTTGCCCCTGCCTGACATTGAACTTCTCTTTCTCCTACTAGCACAGTACATGCTGCCAGCATGGAGAACTCTATTAGTTTTGTTCACCATTGAACCTCAGCTCCCAGAGAAGCAAATGCATATATGAATTTTGTTGCCTAGATGAATTCTGGGTGGGCTATTTAAAATTTGAATTTTCTTTATTTCATGTGACTATTATCCTTGGTCATTAAAGCTGCTCAAGAGTGAATTTGTTTAATTTATTATAGAATGAAACTTTGCTGCTTGTTGCCCAAAGTGAAGTCGACCCTGAAGATTCCTGCAGATAAACATTTACTACAGCAGTTAGAGATGTGTGTGAGAAAACTCCTGTGTCAAGAGAAAGATAAAGATGTTCTGGCCATTGTAAAAAGAGTAAGTGTTCCAGGCCCTGGCCTTGGCAGCCCTCGCATAAGGGTGTGCTAGTCTTCTGTTTATTCGACCTTCGAGGGTAGCAGTATATTCAGATATATCCTCACTAATTGGCATGAATTAGTACCTTTTTAAAAAAAAAATATTTATTGGTTTACTTTTCTTTCATCCACTGGAATAGCCAGAAATACCCAGAGCCTGGACATGAAATGTAAAAACATGCCATTTATATTTAAAAATCATATGGAATGTACTACATACCTTTGTTTCTACCAGCTGTTGCTGTCCTTAACATTTACCTGCAGAAGTTTAGTCAATGGAGTTAACGTGTCAAAACAAACCTGGGAGGGGTACTTTTCTAAAGGAATTTACTAACTTGAAATAATGCAAGTTAATCCAAGAAACAGGTTATAAACATGGTAAATTAATGACTTACTCTGCATTGGATAATTCTAGAGGGCAACTCTTATTTTGAGTGTAAAGTCAGTGTGTCCCATGAAAATGTTGTGGCACAATGTTTATCAAGGTAAGGTGCTGACCTAGGAACTTCGGAGGAATCTGTTCAGAGCTGCTGAATAAAAATGGAATAGCTTACTCTTGTCAGGTTTCTCCAGGTGTGAAGTCGTTTTATTTGAAGGGGATGTCTCATGGCAGAAGTACGCAGTTTTCATAAGAAAGCTTTTAGCAGAATGCTTCACATGAACGTAGCATTTGCAGCATGCAGCTTTGGCTCGTGAGTGTGTGGCTCTACTTTCTGTTTGCTGAGAGTGACCCATGGAAAGGCACTGTCCTCTGCCAGAGAGACAACCCGGGTTAGGTGCACCATTCTTTGATTGAAATAATTTATTTCAATGTATTATAAAGACAACTATGAAATCAAGAGAACACTTTCAGATTAGTTTTTTTCTATGGGTTAATTTTTAGCCAAGTGAAAGTTTGCTTCATATCTATTTAGAAGATTATTTTTATGTAGAAGTTAGATTCTGTTTCTGAAAATCCACAGGAGTGGCAGTTATTAGAAATCAGTTAAATTGTGTGTATTTAGTATTAAAATACTCCTTTAGAGTTGTTCTTTTTAAGGTTAAAGGCTTTGTCAGAAGTGTCTGTAAGTCCTGGAGTTCGTATTAGAGTTTGATTGGAGCTCCAGTGTATGATCAGAAGGGTTCTTACTGTAGGTTTTCCGGTACAGTCTTCTGGTAGTGCAGCATTCCTCCTCTTCGACCCTCTCTCTGGAGATCAGGCGTCGCTGAGAAGTGACTGCTTGGTTGAATTTCCTTTTGGTTGAGTCATGCCTCTACTTTTCTTTGTAGACTGTGCTAGAGCTGGACAGGATGGAAATGTCTATGGATGCTGTGAGTACGCTCCTTGTCTTAACTAGGAGGCATATTTTAAAATTTGTAGAAACTGAATACTAATGTTGCATCCTTTATTTTAAACTTATAGTTTCAGAAAAAGTTTTATGAAAAAGACTTGTTGGATCAAGAAAAAGAAAGAGAAGAGCTACTTCTTTTGGAAATGGTACGTTGTCTCTCTCTCTCTCACACACACACACACTCTTCTGATCGATAAATGCTTTAGTACTTTATTAAAAATTTCTTACCACGTTTTTGTTCGTGAATGACTAAAGACGAGTCCTGTTGTTCTGAAATCTGTTCTTTTATGAACCAGTAGGAAAACAACCTATGAGCCCCATTAAAACAAAAACAGCAACAATTCTATTGAAGTATAATTGACATAAAATTAGCAGGATATATTTTAAGTGTACGGTTTGATGAACTTTGGCATCCATGAAGCTATCACCATAATCAGAATACCAAACATTGCTGTTACCTCAGATGTTTCCCTATACCTCTCTGTGGTTTATGGCTCTTTTTACTAATTAATTTTTAATTGTAATAATTAGGACTAATCTCTAGACCAATTTGGAGAATTGCCACTTTAACAGTCTGAGTCTTCATCTACAAATATTGTTTACTGTACCACTAATTTAGTCTAATTCACTTTTTCTTAGTAATTTTGGTGGTAGACTTCAAGGAGGTTTTTAAACTTATTCCTGGGTATTTTGTGTTATTTGACATTATTGCAAATGGAACTATAATTTTTAGTTCTGCTTTCTAGTTTTTTGTTGCTAGGGAATAAGAATGTTAATGATTCTTGTATCTTGCAAACATGCTAAGTTTGCTTATTTGCTCGGCAGTTGTTATTTAGATTTACTAGTGGTTTCTCTGTAAGTCATTTTATTGTCTTTACTTACAGCAAGATTACTTCTTCTGATGCAATATTTATGCATTTTGATATCTTTTGCAAGATACATATTTTATGTCTTTTGCAAGGACTCAGAGTTCCATATAGGAAAAAGCCTCCAGCTGAATAAAAGTGAGCCAGGAGGACATTCTTCCCCTTTTACTGCCCTAGGGAAGCAATTTAGGTAAATGCCCTTTGTCAGATTGAAGAAATTCCCTCTTATTCCTTCTGCTGGGAGGTTTTTGTGAACATATATTTTGTTAGATACTTTCTGCATTTCTGGAAATAGTTGGTTTTTTCTCCTATTGATATACTGAATTTTGTTGGTTTTTCAAATAGTAAATCAGCCTTGTATATTGGGGTAAATTACTTGGTGATGTTGTCTTTTCTCTGTTAATGAATTCTTGGCTCATGTTTAAAGGGATTTTGCATCTATAGCCATAATTTATGGTGAAATTATTCTACAATATCTTCCCTGTCATTTTTTTTTGTATATTAAATTTAGTACTAAAGTTACTCTAGTACCACAAGATGGATAGTATTACTACTTCCTTTATTTTCCAGTGTGTGAAATTGGTTTTTTTCTTTCTTAATTTCCTTATAGAATTTATTAATGAAAACACAAAGGCCTAAACTTTTCATTTTGGAAAGGATTTTGATAATTGATTCACTTTCTTTAATAGACATAAAACTATTCAGATTTTCTATTTCTTTTGTCAATATGAGTTTTGTTTTTTTTTTTTTTAAAGAAATTACCCTAATCATTAAAGTCAAATAAGTTGGCATAAAGCTGTGTATGCAACTCTTATATAACCCTAATATATGTAGGGTCTATGGCAGTAACCCATGTTATTCTTAGTAATTGGTGACCTCTCTTCTGCTTTCTTTAACTGGTATTTTTTTTTATTTTGTAGTTTCTTTAGAGAAATACATATCCACCTTTATGGTTTACTTACTGTTAATATTGTACCACTTCATTTAACAGTGGTGAGAATCCTTTGATTGTACCATGCTTCTTTTTATAGTTCCAGTGTGAATGACATCTGCTTTGAAGACCCCACCCTTGTTAATATTTTTGCTTTCAGTAGTCATATGTGACTTGAAGATCTTAAGAGCGTAAACTGTTCAGATAGTTACCATTTCCAGTGCTGTTCTTTCATTGTTTAAGATTAAAATTTACTTGTTATTTTTTTCCTCTTCAGCCTGAAGAACTTTCCTTAGCAGTTCTTAAATTGCAGGTATTCTCATTTCCTTTTTCTGAAATGTCATTTACCTTCATTCCTGAAGGATATTTTGGTTTGACAGCCTTTTTCTTTCAACGCGTAGATGATGTGTTTCTGTGTGTCTTCTAGTAACCAGAGCATCTGGTAAAATATCTTTCATTTGAATTGTTCTTCTGTTTGTAGTGTTGCTTTTCTCTGGCACTTTCAATATTTTTTCCTTTCCCTCTTGTTTTTAGCAGTTTGCTTTTGGTGTATGCAGGCATGATTTCCTTCACGTTTATCCTGTTTTGGAACTGCTACGCTTCCACAATCTGTAAATGTGCACCATTCCACGTATTCGGGGGGTTTTGAGCCATTGTTTCAACACGTCGTCTATCCCATTTTTCTATTTCTAGGTCTTCAATTACAAATATGTTAGGCCTTTTGCTGTTGCCCCACATATCCTTGAGACTTTTTCATTCTTTCTTTAAACTCTGTGCTCAGAGTGAGTAATTTCTGTTCAGTGTTACCAACTCTTCCCTCTACTTTGCATTCATTGTATTTACTTTACTTCCCAGTACAATTTCCAATTGTATTTTTCAATTTCTATTAATTCATTTTTATATTTTCTCTTTCATCAGATTAAAAATTGAAGTGATAATTCTCTGAAAAGCAAAGTGCATTATTTCAGTAGTTTCCAATGCAAAGATCAGAGTTCATAATTTCCATAGTAGAAGCTTTAGAGAACAAGCAGGCTGTCAAGGATTTTTAGAAGTAAGGGATCAAAACTCAAGCCAAAAGTTAGACCACGGAAAGAGACCCTCAGATGAACGTGATGTTGGAGTTCATAGACAAGGACTTTTGTAATCATATAACCGTGATTAATATGACCAAGATAATAGAGGGGGAAATATAGAGAAAATAGCGAATTCTGCTGTTAAGTCCGCTTAATGATTTTTTATTTTTTGTGTGCTTTATTTTTTGTTTCCAAGTTTCCATTTCCACTCAGTCCAGTTCTAAATGAAAATGTGCCATCTTGTCTGTTTTCTCCAGCCTTTTCTTTTCACATGTGCACTTGAAGAGAAAGCTTGCTCTCCAGCTGTTGAGTGCAGTGTTATGCCGAGTTTGTTTAAAATGTAATAGTTATTGAACATCTTCTCTCTCTATTTACTGCATTGGGACAAGAGAGTCCTGAGCTTTGTTAACACTTTTGCTTCTCGATCTGGGGACTGGTTTACAGAAGTGTTCACTTTGGGAAATTCATTGAGCTCTACACGCTATGTACTTTCTTCATGCATATTATGCTTCAATAAAACATTTAAAATATCTACAAGACCATTTCCTTTTTAGAAAAAATATCTTGCCTTTCACTAGTCAGAAATGGAAGTGACCAGTAGTAAACATTTTGCTGATGAGAATCAGTAACTATCTTACAGAAAATAGTTGTGGTACCAAACTCACTGACACCAACAAAGTTGACAGCACTACTCTCCAAGAATACTTGGGAAAGAGTGCTTGTGTTGATGGTAAAATAACAACAATCTGAAAGGACCTTGACTTCTTTAGGAACTAATTTGGGGGAAAATTGTTCTTTTATGCATTTTTGTGTACTATATTTGTATCTCTAAAACTCAGTATCCTAACAGTTTTCTTAGTCTGTTTATGCTTACCTTTAATGCTGAATCCTATTTTAATAATAGGAGCAATTAGAGAAGGAGAAGCAACAGAATGATGGAAGGCCCATGAGTGAGAAAACCTTCGAAAAGAAACGTAAGTAGTTTGCCTTTGCATATTCAGTAACGCAATTGATGTTGCTTCCTGGCATTCCGAAAGGCCATGCTATGTTTTTAATTTGATACGGAAAATTCTTTCACTTTGAAAAATGTTTTGAAAATGGGCTATTTAATGTGGTCATGGAATTTAAAAATGGGTGGGGATTAGTGTGGCGGTTTAAGGGAGCCTAAATGTAGTCACAGCAATAATCTTGTAAAATTGATCCCTAAATGGCTAAGTTTGAATTAGGTAAACATATAAAAAAGAATACTTGGGAAAGAGTGCTTCTTGGCTAGGGATAATAGTTCATATTCTCTTGTCTTGTATATCTTATGGAGATTAATAAGTGTTCAGGGGACATGAAAGAATTTAAAACAGCATTTACTGTAGGTAGAGATATGAAGACACCGACAACTTTGCCCAAGAACACACCTGCTTCAGTTCCTGGACCTGCTTCTGGGACTCCATCAACAAGTAGGAAGCGGCATTATCTTGTGTCTCCCTTTTCCTTTCGTAAAACTCGATTAGATTTAACAAGATATATTATTCTAAAGCACCTTTTGTCTTTTGTGGCTGATTGCTATGGTCGTTTTTATGGGCAGTAGGGGTAACCGAGGAAGGGAACCTGGACCCTCCAAGCTTTACTCAGGGTGGTGGTAACTGGAGAGGGATTAGGGTTTGGGTAGCTAAGGATGAGCTGAAAATTATATTTTCTTTCTGCTTGTTACTCTAGGCAAAGACATCAAGAAATCCAAGTTGATTCGAAGCCAGTCTTTCAACAATCAAGCCTTTCATGCAAAATATGGCAACTTAGACAAGTGTGCTAGGTACATGTTAGCTGTTTACATTTTAACTTAATTCTTATAGTCGCATAGCTTTATAGGTGTGAAATATTTACATTCTGATGAAAATTGGGATTCATCCAGAATTTTTTTCTGGATCAATAATTTGTCAGTTTGCCTTTAGAAAAACTAGAAAAAAAAATAGCAGTGTAGCAGTATGCCTGAGACAGCCTGTGTCCTGGCGTCTGGGAAGACTATGCGTAACACCCTGTGGCGGCTTCCTGGGATCCATAAAGGGGGCGGGGGTGGTGCTGCAGCTGTGCGCACGACTCGACGCGGGTGAAAATGCCCCATTTACTCACTGGCTGTGGACTTCCAATTACTATGCTTCTGTCTCCAAAGAAACCACTGGCACATTTCAGTGGTAAAATTTGCACAGCACAGCAGAGCTTCTTGACAAAGGTAAATGTCTATTGGCCCCTTGGTTCAACAGATTTTGAGCAACTACAATTAAGAAAGAATCAGCATCAGTTAAATGTCCATGACTTTCACATTTCTTGTTCACTTATAGTGTGTATAGTCAGATAGCATGTACCAGCTGCACATCAGTGAACAAGCAAAGTAGTTTTTGGGAGACACAGATTTCCATTTACGTGTGAAGAAAAACATAGAAGACACATGTTTTTCTTTTATAGATTGCTCATTTCAACATTTTAGCTATATTTTCAGGCATGATCATGGATCTATCTGCTGAGAGTTCCTAGCCAGTAGGGTGGTCTCAAGACAGGTAAAAGAGATTAGAACTAAAGATAATTACTTCCAAGAAAATTGCATATTACTTAGCTTCAGTGAACATAAAAAGAAGAAATGTTATTCTGATGTAGCAAAAGTTTCAGAAATGCTTCTAAGTTATAGACCAAGTAATGTTGTGAGGTTTACAATGTAAGAGAGGAGTTTAAAAAGCATGTTTCAGAAGAATTAGAAGAAAACATTAAAAAAACAAAAAAGTAAGAAACTCAGCTCTGTGACTGGGACTGAAAGCAGCAAGTTGTGTTTTAAAATGAATCATGTTCTTTTCTAGTAAAAGCTCTACTGTGGCATATACACCTCCTGCCTCAGGGTTAGCAAAGACTACTATGATTTCTCTAACTGGTAAGTAGAAATCTGATCACTTCAAAAATTGCTAAATTAGTAAAAGTATGATTTTACTTAAATGACCTGTTTACTTTTAGATACAGCATTTTTCCAAACTTAGTACAGCCACTATGGAAAACTGTTTGGAGGTTCCTCAAACTGCTAAACATGGAGCGTCCCTACGACCCAGCAATCCCCTCCTAGATATCTACCCAAAAGACACAAAAACACTGATTCAAAAAGATACCTGTACCCCTGGGTTTATTGCTGCTTTATTTACAATTGGAAAAAACATGGAAGCAGCCCAAATGCCCAAAAGTAGATGACTGGATTAAAAAGATGTGGTACATATA